AAAGAGTGGCCTTTTCCAGGACTGTGTATAACAACCAACCAGTAACTCTAAAGGACATATATTCCAAACATAGAATGGCCAGGACCTTATTACATCACACACACATTGTTATAAGTTTGGATACATTGTATACTTGAACTCCTATTTTTCTAGCATCTCAGAGTAATGTCTTAAATTTCAGCATTAATATAATTTATTAAAAAATACATAATTTATAGAAAGCTGTCTGTTCTTAATATATGATGGATGTTCCTGACTTCGTTAAAGATCTGAACAATGGCCTAAATTATTTTCCCCCCTGAAAATTGTATTTTTATCACCTTCCAGTTATTTGGCCTCATAAGAAAATGAAATCCAGTGCTCACAGTTGGATGTTGCGGGGACTGGATGGACAGGGGCATAGAGGGATTGAGCAAAAAAGAGAAAAAGATCATGGACACAGACAAGTGTGATTGTGGAGGGGGAGGGTATAGGGGAGATAAATGGTGATGGACAGAGACTTGACTTGGGGTGGTGAACACACAATACAGTGTACAGATGATGTGTTGTAGAATTGTGCATCTGAAACCTGTATAATTCTGTTAACCCATATCACCCCAATAAATTTAATTTTTAAAAAAATGAAGTATTATTAACCTGTACTGAAAATCAGGTTATTTTTCCAGGTGGTTTAATATAAGTTTATTTTATTTATTATTATTATTTTGCTGCCGTTAATTCTCACCTGAGAAAACTTTTTTCCATTCTTTTTGTGGAAAGTGGGGGGCAGGAGGGAGAGAGAGAGAAGCAAAGATGGGAGAGAAACACATTGATTGGTTGCCTCCCACACATGCCCCAACCAGGGCCAGGGATTGAGTCTGCAACCCAGTATATGCCCTTGACCAGGAATTGAACCTTGGACCACAAGCCAACGACATTCTAACCACTGAGCAACCAGCTAGGGCAACATAGGTTTATTTTACATGAACTAACAGAAAGTCTTTTTTTCTTTTTTCTTTTTTTAAGAATTTTTGTGAGTGTATTTGAGCTAAACTGTCAACATATGCCGGGAAGCAGAACCTCAACGAATTGAGATAGTGCTCCGGAGAATGGCGGAGAAAGTCTTTTTTTCCATACCCTATTAAGTTATTAATTTATCATCCCAAGACACAGTAAAGTGGGATTTATCTTTGGGTTAAGATATAAGATAGCATGGAATCAGATAGGTCTAGAAGTTACGATTATGTATTTTTAGACATTTTATCTTCCTAATTCTAAGAGTGAAACTGAGGGGGATTTGAATTTAAAGAAGTTCATGCTAAAATAAAAGTGAAGAAAGATAAGCTTGTAACTGGTAAGGTATGAGAGGTATAGAAACAGAAAGTAACAAGTCATAAGGACAAAATGAATAAGCCTCAAGTAATTGCTAGAAATGCATGTTAACATTATAATTTTGAGAGTTTCTTATTTTAGGAGATACTTTTTGGTTAATAAAACTTGTCAATAATTTTAGAGATGCATGTTTACATTGTTAGTAATTCTAAATAAAATTTTTATATTCAGTTATGTATAGCCTTTTAAAAATTGAGGTAATAGTTTTGCTAAATGTCTTTCATGTTTAGTGTATATGTATATATATATACACATACATTTTAGAATATACGTTTAATTTCAGAGAGAGGGGGAGAGAGATAGAAACATCAATGATGTTTCAAAGAATCATTGATTGACTGCCTCCTGCAAGCCCTCTAACTGGGAATGGAGCCCAAAACCTGGGTATGTGCCCTGATCGGGAATCAAACCGTGACCTCCTGGTTCATAGGTCGACACTCAATCACTGAGCCACACTAGCCAGGCTAGTATACTCGAATTATTAGAATGTTTATTGGTCTACTCACTTAAAATAAGCAAATTCGTGATTACTTCAAAAAAGAAAGATTTAAGTATGCATCTGAAGAGTTTTAGAGTTAGAAGACAGTAATGAATGATGGAATGCATGAAACATTTATAATAAAAATGTCAAATTAGCCGAAACCGGGTTGGCTCAGTGGATAGAGTGTTGGCCTGCGGACTGGTGGGTCCCGGGTTCGATTCCGGTCAGGGGCATGTACCTGGGTGGCGGCCACGTCCCCGGTGGGGGGTGTGCAGGAGGCAGCTGATTGATGTTCCTCTCTCATTGATGTTTCTAACTATCTCTCTCCCTTCCTCTCTGTAAAAAATCAATAAAATATATTTTTTTAAAAAAATGTCAAATTATGAAAAAATGTCAAATTATTTTATTTTGGAAAGGGAGACTTTCTGGTATGTCTTGAAAATAAACAAAAAAAACCCACTACCTTAATTCTTATCCCTAGCAGTCTTTTAATATATGAGTTGTATAAAAGATTGACGCTGGCCCTGGCTGGTTTGGCTCAGTGGATAGAGTGTTGGCCTGCAGACTGGAGGGTCCCGGGTTTGGTTCCAGTCAGGGGCACATGCCCAGGTTGTGGGCTCGATCCCCAGTGGGGGGCATGCAGGAAGTAGCCAATCAGTGATTCTCTATCATCATTGATGTTTCTCCTCCTTTCCTCTCTGAAATCAATAAAAATATATTTAAAAAAAAAAAAGATTGAGCCTGACGTTACTATAAGTAAATACTAATCTTCCTCTGTCATTGACAGGAACAAGAACAAAAAGCTGAAGAAGAAAGGATTCGTATGGAAAACATTCTGAGTGGAAACCCTCTCCTTAATCTCACTGGCCCATCCCAGCCTCAGGCCAACTTCAAAGTTAAAAGAAGGTACTATATACAGTAATCAGTTGAAAATACATACACACGTGAGTTTTATAGCAAACTCTGTGTAAAGCTTTTAAAATTCCACTTTTCACTGGTAATCATGTGTGTCCGATTTTGGAATAATGGAAGAAGGAGAATGAGAGGAAATAATATATTTTCCATAGATATTTACAGTAACCAGCTTCTACCAGCTACTGTTGTAAGCATTAGAGATGGAGCAGTGCACTGAGCCTTTGACCCTGTGACGTTCACAGTTTAGCCATGTGTGTCAAGGATCCCAAGTCCACCCTTCCCATTCGGAGACTCGCTAGGAGGATTAGGGACTCAGCATATAGTTGTCGTCATGACAAACAAAGTTACACAGCCAGGTCATAAGGGGAAAAGGCATCAAAGGAATCCAGGTTACGCTTCCTTGAGGGGCCACACACAGCACATCTTTTCCCCCTGGCAACGGAAATGTAACATCTGCCCGGGGAAACCCTTTAGAGACTCCATGCCCAAGGGGTTTATGTCACAGAGGTAACCTCTGCCTGCATATACCAAAATTCAGACTCCCAGAAGGGAAACGGGTTCCACATAAACCACAGTATTTGTACAAAGAGTCTGGGCACAGTGATAGTGAGAAGATTCTTGGAGTCCAAGTTTCCAAATGCTAGCTTAGGGCCAACCTTGCAAGCGGCGCCTTTCTAAGGATAGCAGTTTTAAGCCTACCATATTTACTTTTCCGTATAGTGGGCGTGTTTGGAGGGGTGAAGTAAAGGCTGAAGAGGGAGAGACTATAAACAAAGCTCAGTTGGTTGAGTGCCATCCCGATAAGCCAAGGCTGTGGGTCGATCCTTGATCAGGGCGTATACAAGAAGCAACCAATGAGTGCATAAAGTGGAACAACAAACCGATGATTTATATTTTCTCTGTCCCTCCATCTCGCCCCCTCCTCCTCCCTTCCATCTCTCTAAAATCAATTAAATTCTTTTAAATAAAGTTATCTGCTACATAGGAAAACCACTATTCAGCAAATAACCACTACCACCCTTAAGAAGTGAAACAAGCCGAAACCGGTTTGGCTCAGTGGATGGAGCGTCGGCCTGCGGACTGAAGGATCCCGGGTTCGGTTCTGGTCAAGGGCATGTACCTTGGTTGCGGGCATATCCCAAGTGGGAGATGTGCAGGAGGCAGCTGATCGATGTTTCTAACTATCTCTCTCCCTTCCTCTCTGTAAAAAATCAATAAAATATATTTTTTAAAAAAATGAAACAATAATAATAACTGAGTATAGTACTTGAGGTAGTAATACATAGGCAAATAAAACAGAACAGCTTATAGAAAGTGCTGAGTGGGAGGAAGCTTGGTTATTTTGTGTAAGGTGATCAAGGAACCCTGTAGGCTTAGCTTTCACACGTATCTATGATTTCTCACCAGCTCCACTGCTACTGTGTCCAAGCAGGCCCTCACTGGTCTGCTTACGCGCTCACTCTCCTTCCGCACCCCCAGTTTTTTCCTAACACAGCAGTGTTGTGGTCCTTTTAAAGTGAAAGATCACAGTCTCCTGTTTTAGGCTACCCCGTGGCTTCCCAACTCATTTATAGTAAAAACTCGACTCCTTACAATGGCAACAGCATGGCTAAGGACAGTAATTGCCTGGCAGCTGACATTAGCAGAGGCCAGACTCTAAGGTATTTGACCTGAACGTTAAAGGATAGAGATGGGGAAGAATGTAAACGGAAGTAGTTGGGGGAGGTGACAGACACAAGATGTCAGGTTCAGAATGTTGTATAAATCTACGTGGAGATGTTGAGTTAGGTAGCTTGATGAGTGGTTCTGGAGTGAATCCAGGCTAGAGACAATAGATTTGGGAGCTGTCATCTTACAGAAATTTTCTAAAGCCACAAAGACGAGATGAGGTCACCTAGAGAGTGAGTGCAGCTAGAGGGAGAAGTCAGAGGACCAAGTCCTGGATAACGTTTGGAGAGTAGATAGGTGGTTAACTACCAATACCTGGAACATACTGGGTGCCCAGTACATACTACCCAGTATTTACATGCCCAGTAAATATTGATTAAGTGGGAAAAGGAAAAGGAAAAAAAACAGGCTAAGAAGGAGTGAGGAAGGAGGTGAAGCAAAAGATTGGTGGGTGTCTTGGAAGCCAAGCAAACAAGGCTTGCTTTCGAAAAGAGGAGAGTGATAGGTCAAGTACTGATGACAGGGCAAGTAAAATGAGTGCTGGAAAGTGGCCCTCGGACTTAGCTACATGGGAGAGCAGGCTGATGTTGAGAAGGAGGCTAAAAGCCTGTTGGGAGCGAGTTGAGAAGGTGGATAGAGGAGAAACTGCATCGAGGATATTGATGTTAAACTCTACTTTGTCCTCCTGCCTTGTTTGGATGCAGTTAGAATTGTGTGGCGACTGGAACAGTCTTAATATGCAGGTCACAATTGACCCACCTCTGCTCAGCTTTTCACTCACCTGTGTCCTGCACCACGATGAGCTTCCTGACACTTTCCACAGATGCCATGCTCTTGGCTTATTGTCCGTGTGCAGTGTCTTCTGGCATGCAACTTGTGCACACAAACACATCACATGGCTTCCATTTTATATGTATTTGTGAGAGTATATATTACAGAGTGGATTTTTGTTTTATAGGCTAGATGGTATTTTGAAATTACATTCTTGGTTTTCTATAAAACGTTATTTTGTAGCCCATCCATGGGTGTTCTTTTATGCTTGTGCATTATGAAACCCAGCCAGACGAATCCAACCACAGTCCTGCCCTAAGCTCTTCAGCTTCTGTTTCTTCATAGTTTATGCAGATGTGTGCTAATATATGAGCGTTATTGTTATATGCCAGTACTTCTCCTTTTGTTGTCCCAAAATGCAGATACGACAGTGGATGATTACTAAATGCTAACTGATGAAAGAGTACATAAAATGCTTAAAACCGCATAATCTGAACTACAGTAAATTGGTCAGTTATCATCTAGAGTTGTCTGTATTAATCAGGGTGGTACCAGGTACTGCCTCTTTGTTTTAGAACTGAAAACATTTGATATTTATGCAGTTAAAGTTTATATATTTCTGCTTTCTGAGTTAGTCAAAGCATCTTGTACTGGAGAAGTGACAAGAATGTTTTATATGTTCTAATTGCCCTTTCTGCTGTGATAGAGCTAGATCACAGCCTATTCAAAATTACTGTCTTCTTTGGGGCATATGTAATTGCTGCCTCTGTATACATGCTGAACACCTTTCTGTGTAATGACTAAGCTTTGCAATTCACACTGTGTATCTCCTGACACAAACATTATAAGGACATTTTATTTTCTTTTTCTTCAGGTGGGATGATGATGTTGTTTTCAAGAACTGTGCAAAAGGTGTGGATGACCAGAAGAAAGACAAAAGATTTGTTAACGATACGCTGCGATCTGAATTTCACAAAAAGTTCATGGAGAAATATATTAAATAGTACAGTTTTATGTGCTTTATTAAAGACTATAAAATGTAAATGATCATTCTGACTTTACTTGGTTAGTTTGTTGTTTTTTTTTTCCTTTTCCCCCACATTTAAATTGTGAATAGGCTTTCCTAATTTTAAGTTCCAAACTATCTTTTTCTTGATTGGTACCTTATTTGATAAGTAAGAACTTGGGAATTGTCTTAAACCAGTTTCCAGTCTCTGAATGTTTTCATTCAGGTTTTCTTTTTAAGATTCAAAAGGTAATCTGCTTATAATGTTTTTAATAATTCAAATAACCAAATTCATGTCCCCCAACTTTTTTGTTTAAATGTATGCAGCTTATGAAACATTGCATATTTTCTTTTGTGTATTGTATTTCTTTGTACATTAACTTTCTCCTCATTTCTCTAACATGGATTTAAGGGCAGTTAATTCATGATCTATTCCTGTGTGTTTTTTGAAAAGTATGATGAAAGATTAAAGGATTCCATCGAGGCCCATATGATGCAGTGGAAATGTGTCATCAGCCAGGAAGCACCTGATTTATGTGAGGGAGCACGGGGTATCTTCCTTTCCCAGAGGCTCCTGGCCCAAGGCGAGCGCTCCTGAAGCTGCTGAGGAAGCATGTGGCATCACCTTGTTCTCCTGGATACCCAGCTGCCATGTTTCTGTCAGATGGGATGGAGTCTGCACACCGCCACACTTTAGACGCAAAGCCTGGGGAAATTTTAACATCAAACGATACATGAAATAAAACTTGGAACCTTGCCGGTGTGGGTCAGTGGTTGAGTGTTAACCCATGAACCAGGAGGTCAGGGTTTAAGCAGGCTCTATGCCCAGTAGGGGCCATGCAGGAGGCAGCCGATCAATGAATGATTCTTATCTCTCCCTTCTCTCAAATCAATAAAAACATATTTTTAAAAAACAACCTTTGGCAATTGGATTTTGCTTATTTGTTATCTTGGGAGGATGTGTACATATAAAGTGGAAATGTCTACTCAGCTAGGAAATGAAGTTTTCCATAAACCCAGGCTGTGATTTTAAGGGTGTCATTTGGATAGTAAGTTTGGGACCAAACATTGAGCCTTCTACAGATACACATAAAGACCTATTCTAAGATCTTATCCACTAGCCGTGGTCGGCAAACTACAGCTCTTTGGCCCCTTGAGTGTGGCTCTTCCTAAGTCTTAGGAGTACCCTAATTAAGTTAATGTACCTACCTATATAGTTTAAGTTTAAAAAGTTTGGCTCTCAAAAGAAATTTCAATCGTTGTACTGTTGGTATTTGGCTCTGTTGACTAATGAGTTTGCCGATCACTGCACTACAGCATTTCCCCAGTAGGAGCCTGAACAGGAATGTGTGCAGCCCTAGTCCGGAGCAGAGCTAGAGATAGAGCCCAGGTGGACTCATTCATGCCCTGCACTTTATTTTCCAACTGAGCTGTTGACTCAAGATTATGAATACTTTGACTAGTTTTTTTTAAAAATTATATGTTTATTGATTTTAGAGGAAGGGAGAGAGAAACAACAATGATGAGAGAATCATTGATCAGTTGCCTCCTGCAGGCTCCCTACTGGGGATCGAGTCTGCAACCCAGGCATGTGCCCTGACCAGGAATCAAACCCTGAGCACACTGGCTGGGCGACTAGTGTTTTTTTTAAGCTTTTAATATTAAAACATTTTAATCTCCACCTTTACAATTTTAAAAAGTACATTTCCATCCATTTGGATAGCTTGGGTGATAGGATCCAATTCTCTGTCCTAGGGTGGACTTTGGGGCCGTCAGGGTTTCTCCAGGAGACAACTATCTGCCTAGTGGTCCACTATGAACACAAGGTCAACATCCATCAGATGACAGGCTTGCTCCCTTCAGACTTTCCCTGCTTACCTTCCCCTCATTGTCACTAGTGAGAATCTTTTAAAATTTAAATTTATTATTTACTGTGGAAAGCCACCTATAGTCTTCACTAGCAGAAAGGTGTGGACAAGGGACCCGGAAGGCTAGTGACCCTTGAAGCCCTGGCAAAGGTCAGAGCTATGCACCCACTGTTTAGTCCAGACAATGGTAGCTGAAGCAACTTCCCCACCAAATAGTCATGTAAATCCTTACTGATAAGATAGTCTGTCTGCTATTGGAACTTGCTGCCTAAGGGTGATGGGTGGATCCCAAACTGAATAAAAAGATGGTGAGGCCAGAGCACAAGCCGAGTCCATCCTCTTGGGACGGGTTCTCGCCTGGCCCCCCAATTTCCAAGTTATATCTTGTCTCGTTCGTGTGTGGCCCCTCTTCCAGATCCTGAACCCTGAACCATGCGGGACGTGGGGGAACATACAAATATACAACATCTACACATCATTTACATTGCTTTTGCTTCACTTTACCTGTTTTTACAAATTTGATATATAATTTCACATAAAATAAATATAATTATATCTCATGTATTATATGTGATATAAAAAAATAAGATAAAAAGACCCAGTATTTTTCTATTATTTGGCTTCTTGCTTTCTGTTTTCCTATTTTCTCTCTTCTTCCGCATTAGTGCCCCCATGAGAGTTACAATAATCTAATCAAGCAATCACCTTTTGACAGGCTGTTTATTTTATATCTCTGGTTTCTTTTCTGCCCTCTCCCCTCCCCCAGTGTTACAATAAACTCAGAGGATTTGAGCGATGCTGTGCTGAAGAGACTTGGGCAGTTCCCCAAAATCATTCTGAGTCCAGACGGGACAGGGGAGTGCCAGGTATCAGACCCCAACTGCAGCTCACTTATTGTTCCCTTGCTGCCTATGAGGATGGACACTTTCTATGGGGTCCTCCCACAGTGTTAAACCTCTCCCCTTCCTTCCATTTCATGTTCTCCTCCATTTAAGCCCTTCCTACCTGTTGCCCTTCGCTGCTCCTTCACCCTAGCATTCTGAAGACCCACATGGAATAAGAGGTCCGAGTTCCCTGGGTTTTGGAAATTCTTCACCGGGGGGATTGTGGGTGGTGTGGAGGTTGGGAAGCACCAGGAAGAAGTTTGCTCTGCAGGGTTAAGCTCTTAGTAAGCATGGCACAGCTTTATGTCGCTGAGCCCATAGCATCTCCAGCCCACATCCATTGCCAGAGCTCCTGCCCTTACTTCCAGCTGTCTGCTGAGCGTCTCCACTCAGGGCCCACAAGCAACTCACACAAACATCTCAGAAATAGAACGCCGCCTCTCTCCATCTCTGCCTTTTATTAACCGCCCGCTGGGGGCAGCACTGCCCCTGAGAACAGCAGTTTCTGTGGGGATTTCAACGGTAATATACACATGAAAAGCCTAGGTGTTCAGCAAGGTTGGTTCCCTTACCTTCTGTCCCTCGTGATTCCTTTTTTCCTTCCTTCCGTTAAACGTAAAAAAACCATTGAAACCTGTAAAGAATTGCAGGAACAATTAACATGATAAATGAAAGAATCTGCTGCATCTGTCCTGGGCCCAGCACACCTGGTTGTGCCCGAGGGGCTCCAGATACAGGGAAGTCACAAGTTACCCAGACATCCCAAGGACATGTTATCATAGATGCAAAAAGACAGATTACAGTAAAGGTGGACCTTATCAGTGAAGATATCGGCTTAGGACGTAACTGCCCACCATAAATGCTTTTAGTTAAGGTTTAATTTCAGACCATCCTTTGTGGTTACTTTAGGTCTCGAGTCTGCAAAACTGCCATTCAGGCCTCCCCTGAGCTTGTCAGGTCAGCATGTGGCCCCTTTCGTCCACACTTCTCTCTTTTTTTTTGAGGAAGAAAATTCTCAATTTAGGGAAAAAGTAAAGTTCATAGACGTGCCAAAAAGAATTTGCTTGCACTTAAAGGTAGAACATGTTCTTTGGACAGGAAAGCCAGGCTTGACAACAGGAAAGTGACATTCAGATTAGATACATTTTACCACATTTTTATTGGTAAAATGGGCTGAGGTGGTGATGACAAAGGAGCAGGTGGGACTCCTCCTGGCTTTCTTGTCACCACACAAAGGGGCTCCAGGCCAGACCCACTGAAACTGATCATCGTAGGACACGGGCCAGGCCGAGGAAGGAGTGGTTTCACTGAGGCCAAATAACTCAGAGGGGAAAAACTTTCCCTTGAGTTTCAGTTTTAACCCACTTGAAAATTATCGAAGGCTGCAGGCACATCCATCAGCCCCAGACGAACACTACTACATCCATCTTCCCATTGTCTCCTGAGTTGGTTACAGGAAAAAGCTCATGAAACATGTGGAGACAGAAGATAATTATTAAAAAGGCTGTCAGAAGCCTCTGAGCACCAAAGCAGCAATACCAGGAGAAGCGGAAATTGCTCATGCAGAGAAGTCTGTGGTTTTGATGGGGGGAGAATATATATGGGGTAAATACAGCTCTGATGTGCTTTGTGTATAGTACTCAGTGCTTTTAGAAGGTGGATCTAAAGCATGTGCTTTAAAACTGAGCACCTACTATGTGCAAGACCCTGTTCTCAATGTGACCTTCGAAGATGTCAGTTGTCTGCCTGTCTGGGGGTCAGACAAAGGTGGGTTCGAAGCACAGCTGCACCACCTACATGACGTGGGTCCACTCGTTTCACCTCCCGGAGCCTCAGTTTGCCGATCTAAAAAATGGGGATAATGATTTCATTTTGTAAGAATAAGGCAAAACATGTGTAAAGCTCTTTGCATAATGCCTGATACATAGTAAATGATCAATAAACCTTAGTTCTCTCCTGCCCCCAACCCACCTTCTCCCGCTCCCCTATCAACAAGCTACCTATTTTCTTCACTGGTGTGTTCCCCCTGCCCACAGGCATGCACACTGGCACATGATGAGGGATCTTGGTGGAGGGAGCGAGGTGGCTAAGTGCAAAGCTGCACTTTAAGAGAAATAAATGAACATGTTCAAAGAACAAGAAAAAACAGGAGTGGTGAATGGGAACTGTTGAAGGAAACCCACGATTAGTCCAGAAAAGAAAAGATTCAGGATTTGGCTTGGAGAAGTAGGAGGCAGTGTTCACCTATGTAGGAGGCTGCTGTGGGTCCCGGGCTTGGGCCTTGTTGGGTCTGGACCTGCACACAGAGTTCAGAGCGATGGAAGGAAGCATCTTCCGCCTGCAGAGCCCTTACTGTGCAGAGAGGCGCCCTCTGGCGGTGGTGAGGGGCGAGCGTGAAGGTGAAGGTTTGCAGGTGGCGTGATGGGACTTAATTGCTGAGAAGGAGGCGAGACAACCCCTGCTGACTTTCAACACTGAAGACTCTGATTCTGAGAATTCTGCACTTTTATAAATAGTCAGTGATTAAGGAGGCCAATGGTGGTCACTTGTGGTCTTCCAAACTTCACTTGGAATTTCCCTGCTTCCTAAATAATGGCGCAAACTTTGTTGTTCAAGGTAATAATCGCTATTTCACTCAGCCCCTATCTTCATCTGCTTGTAGTATCTCAAATATTCCAGCACT